CCAACTGCCAACTGCGGGCAGCTCATATTTGGGACTTGTCCCGACTGCCAACTCCGGGCAGCCCATCGCGGGACAAAATTTGCTGGCGATAGACATGCCCGTCACATCGCCAGATTTTGCTTGGTTTGCCCTGTCACTGAGGCTGAACCAAGTCGAGAACGTGACAGTGAGTGGGTTCTCGACTAGCAGTACTGCCAGTGATGTAGACAGTACTCTCTCACTACGAAGCGTTCATTAGGGTTCGAAGATCAGCGTCCTAGAGTCTATATACAGAACAAAGACAGGCTCAATCAGTAAACGCAAAGCTTTGACCAAATTTTGCTTTTTTTTTGTTGAATTATACACCAAATTTCACACTTACAGTTAATGGGGGGTTCCTTAATGTGATGCGCACAAACACTTTTTTTTAAAATTTTAGATGACATTGTTTCTGAATATCAGTGGTTTTTATGTGGCTACGTAGGAGAGATGCAAAAGTTGATTTTTTACTAGAAACTAGCACATAGGCCTTGAATTTGTTGAATTTGTTTAGCTAGAAGCATTTGTTGGGAAAACTGGTGCCAGTAGCGACAAAAACTGTAGGGAACTATGCACAAAAACGCATCTTCACGCGGGCAGCCCGTGCGCTGGCTAATTATTGCTGACTGTAGCAGAGATATAGCGCTGCACAGCAAAAACACGTAAAAACCACAGCAATAATGATAATTAATGTAGGCCATCCGCACGATGAGAAGCTGATGGAATATTTTCGCTCTGAAAAATTTGAATTCGGTATCATCGAACAAATCAATTTCGGCGGCTATGCTATATTCAGCAAAATTGGTTTGAAAAATTATGCCACTGCGATGGCAGTCAATCTTATTGAAGTTGCTGCTGATTTGTATGGTGTTAGCTCCAATCCAAGCTACGTTCCTGGTTAGTTTTGCCTAATCAGTAATCCAACTCAAATTTTGCCTTAATGTGTTTACTTTGCCGGGGAAACGTCCCACGTTCGATTTCCATCGTGTCGGTAAAACTTTCTAGCTACACTTTCTTAGAGGAAGAAGGCAAAAAAGGAAGGAAATGAGGCTAAGCAATAACAAAACAG